GCCTCCTCTTTTCTCATGCTTACATACTTTATTGCTTTAAACATTTAAAAATACTTTTTGAGGCACTCTTCAGATTGATCTTGTCTATTTCCTTTGGTGTAAATTCTTCCATTTGCTGTGTCATTCACAATGTTTATCCTTTTAAGCATTTTTATGAGTGTAGTTTGTAAGGTCACATTCCACACATTTCTCCCATATTTGCTTTCATGGAAAATCATATTCTGCTTCAAAGCTTCAGGCCAGGGTGCATTTTATGCTCAGGGAATGTTTCTGCATGCATGATACATTTCCTGCCCTGCACATGCTGGTGACATGACACTACCCTTCATGTATGCAGGAAGATACTGGACACTACGGTCATTGAAAACAGCTTAGTTCTCTAGCAACCTTGGGAACTGTGCAAAGTTTTCCCAGTATCTGTTCATGGTAGAGTGTGGGTCTGTTGCTATGAATGTGTGAGAGGTCCTGGTCACTTTCTGCTTGGATCTATGCCTAACTCTCCAGTGCCAAGTGACTTTGGCCTCTGACAATACCAAATATTCCCTTTGGTTATTTTCTTGTAGGAAATGGTTCCCTTTCTCACTTTCATTAGCAGCTATGTGTTTGTTAATTTTGAAAATTTAAACATCATTTCTACTTGGAGTGAGTGGAGGTTTTAGGATGTGTTTACCTTCATAAATATTAGATCTTAGCCTAGAGGAAACTGAGACTCTTTCCAGTCAATCTTGTCCTAGGGCCATTAAAGTTTACTATGAAAAAGAGGCAGAAAGAGGGGCTTTTGTGCCTGAACACTTGAAGAAGTTTGGGAAGGCCAAAGGCAGGAAGAAATTAGGGAAAGGGGATGGAGACCGAGCACTGCAAGTTGCAGTAGGTACCATCATATAGTTGGTTTCATTATATGTCTGCAACCCCAAAAGTGCCAGGGTATATAACTAGAATAAGAACTGGTATGTGGAATGGATTTGTGTACCTTATTGCTGTGTCACCCTACAGAGTCAATTCAAATCCTGTAGCCTACGGTAAACTCTTCTAGATCCCCTTTCCATCTTGTGAACCAAGCTTTCTGTAGGCTGTGTATTACAATCTCACTTGACAGGGACTATCAAAGAACTCACCTGGCAAACACCCCAGCTTTGTATCATGGAATCAAGAGGTTGCAGAGTCTTTAAGACCTCCCGTGACAAATCATTCAGTTTGCTTATACTTAATACCCACTTCCGTGTTTGGCCCATGAGACCTCTGGAAATTTGGTGTATGCGGAAGGAGAAGTTCCTCTCCTTATACTTTGGGGCCAAAGGTCATCCTGCATTGAGAAAGAGTGATGATTTTACCCCTGCTACCTTATCGCTACCATCTGCTCTCCCCTCTAACTCTAGCTCACATTGTCTTTGTTCCTACAAGTTTCCATCATATATTCAGGTGAGGCCACAGCTGCTCTCTAACAAGGCCTATTCTTATGTTCCAGAAATGCAGTTTCCAGAATTCACTTGTTCAGGATGCAGTCTCCTTGACTTAGCCAAGTTTCACTTTTTGGTCACCCTTTTGGTACCAATGCTTTATTGAACCCCACCATCACACTTGACTGCTCTCCAGGTCTTTGCCCTGGTCTCTGGTATCCTGATTTACCACTTGGCTTTGGCCTTCTGAACTTCAAACCAAATGATTCCACTTGAGCTAAGAGTGGTGCTTGAACACGTCTTTTTTTTTAGAAAAATGACCTTTTGGAGGAAAAGAAAGGGAAGATATTAAGGTAAATATTATTTTTTGACTTCTAACTATGTAACTAATTCTGCACTTGGTAATTTAGATGCATTGTCTTAATCCTTCCAAATTAGATGTTATTAACCTTTAAAAAGATAACAAACACACTCCAATTTATTTAATTTCCAAACAAGTTGAAGTGATTGAGGTCTCATAAACTAATAAGGACCTCAAGATTTATTAATCAGATAATTATTCAAAGAGTACTCATGTCTACCAGCAACTAATGATCTTTGTAAAGATGAAGTTGCAAATGCATTACATTTCAGCTGTATAGAAACTTCTCCAGGTATTCAAGAGCATATACAACAGTTTCTGTCTTAAACTGATTTTTAGGGGTGCCTATGTGGCTCAGTCGTTAAGTGTCTGCCTTTGGCTCAGGTCATGGTCCCAGGGTCCTGGGATCAAGCCCCACATTGGGCTCCTTGCTTGGCGGGAAGCCTGCTTCTCCCTCTCCCACTCCCCCTGCTTGTGTTTCTGCTCTCGCTATCTCTCTCTCTGTCAAATAAATAAATAAATAAATAGTCTTTTAAAAAAATAAAGAATAAACTGATTTTTTAAAATGATGATGTCTTTTGTTTGGTATATCATTTAGCATCCTTTTTTTTTTAAATTTTATTTTATTATGTTAGTCACCGTACAATACATCATTAGTTTTTGATGTAGTGATCCACAATTCATGGTTTTCATATAACACCCAGTGCTCCATGCAGTACGTGCCCTCCTTAATACCCATGACATTTGGCATCTTTTTAAAGGTTAATTTGGAGTAGAAAATTCTGAATAAAAAGATATAAAAACATGGTTGTACACAACAAAATATATGGGATAATTTTGGGGGATACATGACTTAGATCTCTCTCCATCCTTTACATTCATCAAATTCTTCACTATCTCTATTTTCTTAAGATGGCTTAGAAGATGGAGGGGAACCTTTGGTTACCTCCTGTTGATGTTTTAGAGGGTGTTAGAATATGCAAAGAGACAGTCATGGGCAACAGTAAAGTCAATGGCTATTTCAATGTGCTCTTTCAAGTATGTAATTAAGAACACAAAAAACCCATGTGTGGAGACAATCAGTGCATGTACCAGGACTAAATTTATGCTAGGAGCCAAGACTTGCTTTCCACATAGAACAAAATTATTCATAAACCTTCATAATCTATAAAGAGAAGTGAGCACTCAGCCAGGAGAATGAGGGGGACACATGTGCAAGTCCTGAGTAGCAACATCTACTCACACACTTGTCATGGTGAAAAGGGAGCCTTTTTTCCTTCATTTATTTTCCTGGTACCTGACAGGGGCAGAGTTGCTGACCATATTTTTGTTACTCTTATTCAAGCAGAAAATCCATTGTAAATCCACAGAAAACATTGTTGCAAACACTGCAAAGGGAAGAATTGGTTCAATGCAATTTAGAGGATGAATTAAAAAGTTTTGCAATTGAGTGTGGGGACTCCGGGCCACTTCTTCAGTGGGTAACTTTTTAAGTTGTGTGAAGGTAGAAAAAGACTTCTTAAAAACCATTTTATTCATTAGAAACTTGAGAGCTTTTTCTTCTGTGCCTTATAGATCAAATTGTCCCAGAGTGGGATAGGAGAGTGCTGCATATGTTTATTTGAGTGAACTAACTGCAAGAACTCCAACATTTTTCTATATGCTTCTCAAATACACTGTTTTGTATCCTGAGCCTTGTCTAAACTATGTTAAATGAGGCTATTTAAAAGTTTTATGTCCTTGAACTCAAACTGACTTGCATGTTTACTAGGAGCTCCTGACTTGGGGATACTTGCCTGGATATTTCTCTTTTCTGTCCTCTTGCCATTCTTACATCTTTTATTTCTGTATAAATTTGGAATTTAAAATTTTCAGTAAGGATGGGCACCTAAGGAATGACAATTTGTAAGAGATAGCCTTTGAAATAACCAATCTTATTTGAGCAAGGTTCATCGTCTATTCATCATACTCTTCTAATGGGTTATTGCTTTCTTTCAAATAATGTTTCTGTTACATAGTGTTTCAATCTAGCTTCAGTGCCATCTGCCCAACACCGTCCTGAATTGTTCCCAAAGGAGAACATCTATATGTTTAGATTTATGTGCATGCACTTTATGTATTCCTTTTAAAAAGTCATAGGCATATAATTAAATCTTTTTTAAATCTTAAAGTAAATACAGTGTTCTGATTATTGTCCATATATAATTTCTCCTATCAACTCTCTCCCATTTTGTGACAGTTCTGTACACTAGCTCACAGACTCACAACAAATTTCTCACCGATGTTGGTATTTGTTTTTTCAGAATTTAAATTTACCAACAGTGATTAATATTAATTAACTACAATAACTACTTTTCTAAATATCCAGAGTCTGCTAAGCCTATGTGGATGCAAAAGTAAACAAATTAAGCCCACTCCCCATTGTGTGACCTTTTGTGTAACTGACCCAACTCTTAAAGGGAGTCAAGTTTCTTATCTGGGGTCCATGGATGAGTTTCAGAGGATATTCTGTGAATGCCCTAAAATTCACTGCAAATGCTTCCTATGTGAGAGTGTATATGGATTTTCATTTAAATTTTGCCAAAAGAAGTTGTGTGGTATAGTGGATTGGTGTAGTATAGTGGGTTCTGGAGTAAGACTGCCTGAATTTGCATACCAACTCACTTTATGGCTGTGTGATTTTGAACAGGTTACTTAACCTCTCTCTGCTTTAATATTCTCAAAATTGCAGAAATAATCTTATAGTGCTCCTGTTGAGGGTTAAATGTGAGGACTTACTAAAGGTTACTAATTACCGTTGTGTCCTCGAAAGAATTAGTAACCACCAAAGTGTTAAAAAGTCGCTGATTTAAGGCATTTTTAGAATTATACTTTAAAGAAAAATACCAGTTCCTGAGTGCAGAAGTCACACTCAAACCTAATTCTCATAGAAATATCCATTAGCAATACACAGGGATGCATATTCATAATGAGGCTGAAAGGCCTGTGAAATAGCTCTAAAAATGTGGAAGGCCAATTTGTATTGCTCTTGAATGGAAGAAAAAGCATCTTCCTGGTCCTGGATTAGGCCCCAGATGAAACACTTTCTGTCAGCTCCTGACTACTGTGCCATCTAAGCTTGCCTTGAATAAACATGCAGGGTGATATCTTAAAACTGCAAGTCTACATTTGTGGATGCTTTCTCAGCATTTTCTGTCAGCATGCAGAAGTCAAAAGTTACAAAAACAACGAGATTCTGCATCTTTTAATGAAAGTTAAAACAACAATATAAACATACACAAATTTACAGAGAAGGGATCAACTTTAATACATTTGGAGTAAAAGGTGTTTCTTATTTAAATATGGTATAAAAATAAATGCAAGAAACATTAACCGAAAATGTACAGACAACAGACAAAGACATGAGCTTGTTTCTGACTATGAACACATTGGTGAAATGAAACTTTCTGTGCTAATTTATTGTTTAATAAATGTGAAGCCATATGTATGCTTATTGATATATATATATATTTTTTACAATTCTTCCAGTTTTTGACTGAGTGAATTTTCAGTGAACTGTGTGTCTAGCAAAAGCCTTAAGAGAAAGAGATGAAAAAAAAAAAAGGTTTACTTCACTTGAACTTGTTAAAAAGGAAAAGACACAGATCCAGCTTAGTACAAGGAGAAAGTAAGCAGACAACATTTTGAAATGGAGGCATCAAGATGGTAGAGTCACTTGAGATGGCAATGCCTTAATGTACACAAAGAGAGAACAATTCAGGTCCTTTGCTCATGCAACATCTTGGTCTAATGTCCTCTGCTCCAGGTAACAACAAAGAGCTACAAAGTATATGCAATGACTCCAGTCTGCTTCCATGCTACAAGATGATCCTTTTAGTAAGACTGAACGAGGCTTGTTAACCTCTTTGACGTGAGAGATTTCCCCTGAGAAAAAATATAAAACACAGGAAAAAAAAACAGTATGATCACTGAAAACTTGCTATGAGCAGCATTTATTTATTGCAGCTGATTTTTGTGCATGGGTCAAAACAGAACCCTTTAGGTACATCTTAGTTCAAACTTCCTCCCTCCACCAACACATCAAACAAAATGATCTGCCCCTCTTCCACCCTCCCACCCCTCTACCCACTTCCTCCCCACTGCAAACAGACTGATGGGTTCACAGCACAGATTAGCAAATAATAAAACATGTCCATAAACGTTTCATCAAGGCGTAGCAATGATGCAACACCTAGATTTGCAACTGGTTATAAACATGTTAAAAGAAACCTTAGTAAATTGCCCTGAAAGGTAGCAATGTGAATGCATTCTTGTTCAATTGCTGGAATTAATGTCATGTTTATAAATATCTAGATATGCAGAGGATATGATTTAATTAAACAAAATTCATTTTTAAAGGCGTAATTGGTAGAAACTCAAGATTGAGTCTGTCCCCTGTCCTATATGGTAATGGAGAAAAAGATGCCAATTATACATCTACAGATAAAAGTCTATTTGCTCCTTACTTCAAACCAGACATCTCCCTATCCTTTTCCACCTGATTTCCTCCAACCCCAACCCCATAAAAATCCCATATATTCTGATTCCATATATTGTGTTAATACCTAGAGTACATATTCACTTTTTGGAAATCTTGAAAGCCAGCACTGTCCCTGTTAATACTAGTACCCTGGAGAGATAAAAAATATTTGAAATTTCTGATCAGAGTTGCAGATTGTCAATTGGTGGTTTCTGTTTCATCTCTCATTTTGTATGTTCTAGCAATAAAAATAAGGTGGTCCACTTATTTGAATGGAATTTGTCTTTTTCAGAGTATAAAATAATAAGGTAAGGCCAAAAGATAATTTGAGAAATATAATACTTTAGTAATAAATTAGTCATAACAGTAGTCTTGATTTACTACCTAATATGGATCAGAGTTTGATAAAAGGCAATGTGGTGTTGGGAGAGAAATTATCACCCATGGCCATCTTTTGGGAAAAGAGCAACAGGTTTAAGAAATGATCAATAATTTCAAAATCAAGCTTTCTTTACACACTTCACAGTAACTGAAAAGAGCCCTGTGGCTGACATGGACAGCAGCAATGGAAAATCAGGCACCATTTTCTTTTAATTGGGGAAAAGGGTTCAAAACTTAGCATCTAGCAACTAATCGTAGAAGATGCCTTCCCGCTGACTATACTTTAGTCACTTTATGGCAGGAATAAAAAGAAAAGAAAAAGCAGTTTGTTAACAAGACACCCTACTTTACATTATACATTGGCCTTATAAACAAGATACGTTTTGCTCCTTCTTGCCACCCTTTCCGTGCTTGTTTTCTCATCTGTAAAATGGGGATAATCACAGTACCTATTTAAAAGCTTTTTCTGAAGAAGAATGAAACTAAATTGTTTAGAACTATTCTTGGAACATTCCATGTACTAAGTTTATGTTGGCTATTATCTCATCATGTTATTACTATTATTGTTTTTATTGTTAAATGCTTTCTCATTAGGACACTGACACCCAAAGTCTATTCTGACTTTATTTTTTTTTAAAGATTTTATTTATTTATTTGACAGAGAGAGAGACAGCGAGAGAGGGAACACAAGCAGGGGGAGTGGGAGAGGGAGAAGCAGACTTCCCGCTGAGCAGGGAGCCCGATGTGGGGCTCGATCCCAGGACCCTAGGATCATGACCTGAGCTGAAGGCAGATGCTTAATGACTGAGCCACCCAGGTGCCTCGTCTATTCCGACTTTAAAAGGGCATAAAGTTGCTAATGAATTGGAATCTAAAATTATATTGCTTTTCCATCCCAAATCTGGGCAATAGATTGATCAAATAATGTTGGAATCTAAAAGTTACCTTTCTATACTTGAAGACCACACTATCGCCTACATTTACTATTGTATTCATTTCTTGTGCTATTAATATTAGTGTGTACATGAATTTATATATATTTATTCTGAGGCTGAATAATGTATTTTTCAAAAGGGCTTACTGTTTCTAAGGCAAATGTGGGATGGAGAAAATGCCATATTGGTTGAGGCATAAGAGTGAATGCTTGTATGGCAGAGAAGGGGAAAGATTCTAATGTAAAATTATTACTCTTAAAACTGCAGATTAGTGTGATTTGTTAAAAACTGCTGGGAAGAAGAATGAAATAGTCACGTTGAAATAGAAAGTCATTTGAAACTCATATAATCATTTTTTATTTGGACTGTGAAAATTATTGTCATCTTTCTAAATCTAATAAATATTAACACGGCTCTCTTTCTACAGATTTTTGAAACTTCCTTGAAGCTGTTAGTACTTGGCCTGATATAGGTTTCATTAAAAAGGGGGTGAGGTACAAGGTTAGCCTGACAGACTGTTGTCTTAGGAGATAATTAAAAAATACTCATTCACAGAAATCTATAGAAAAGCACAGGCAACCTGGGGATTTGTGATAATAGGAAAACAGATGAACAGAGATGGGAAACAGTCACATGATGAAACATTTTGTGTGATACGGTCTTACCAAATATGTAATAAGGATATCTGTTATGTGCACTGAGAAAACTAAAAGGCAAATTTGGGTAAAACTAACAGAAAAAAAAAAAGTTTACATGCCCCAGTCTGGGATCAAAGTAAATAGCCTGGGTGCCCAGTGAGTCATGTGAATTTGAAACTCTAGATCATTGGGATCTATCTGCAAACCCTGTGAAAATCCTGCCTTTTTCACATACTGGGAAAAAACAGACTGGCACTATCCTAGTGCACAAGGAAATATGTTGCTCACTCTATTGGAAAATCTTAAGTTAAAAAGAATATTGATCTTTTCTTGTAGGTAGGAAAGGATGTATTTACATATCTGCTGTTTTATAAAACTCCTTTTTAGTGTAGTTCCTCAGAGGCTGTATGGAATCAGCCCCTGCCAACTAACTTTTCATAATTGTTCCAAGTTGAAGAATCTGAGAAATTTTTACAGTTAAGTTCTAAAATCTTAATTCTGGTAACTTGTTTACAACTGAATTCCATATGAATAATATTTATTTTTAACCAAATCCCTATATATGTGTTATGTCATTTATACTCTTTCTTGTCAGATTCTGAAGAAAAAGGATTATCCTGGAAACAGCAATCCATAGAGAAAGACAAAGACAGGAACTCAGAACAAAACAAAACAAAAATTCAATATCCTATGAGATTTTGTAATAGATAGTTAATGAGCAAAAAGCTAAAAAAAGAAGCACATAATCAGTTTCAGGACAAAAATACAGCTCAGATTTTGCTGGTATCTAAGTGAATATAGAACACTTACCTAATCTACAATATAGTTATCACATAAAATCATATACACAAAGAGAGTTTTCTGGTCCCTCACAGTGAAACTTCACCTCTTAAGTGCTCCATAGAGGTTTTGTTATAGTTTGGAAAATATCCGCCTCCTCCCCCCAAAAAGTCAGAACAAGCAACCTATGTGTTTGTTCTTAGCTCCTCTAAGGTAACTAACTACCAATAGTTATAAATTTTACATGATTTTTAAAATCTTTCTTGTTTTTAAAGTAGTAACAGAAAGTTGACAATAGGGAGCTGTGAGTCGGTAGAAATGGCCGGGAAAGCCAGGCTCGTAGCTGCAGTCTGAGAGCCTGGGGCACTAGGAAGATGGAGGCCGTTCTCCATTCTCTCTTCCTGCAGACACTAATCCATAAAGGGAGTGGAGAGAAGCCACACTTGCTTGGGTGACTAAGCCACTTGTTCTATTACTGTTGTAAAAACACACAGCAGTCTTTCTTGACCTATAGGACACCAAACAGACTGAGAAGAAATGAAGGGATAGGATGTTTAGAAGATAGCCATGAAAGAATTTAAAGAGAAAAGTAGCGGGATTTTCAGCATCTTTTGGATTAAAAAAATAGGTAACCTCTTAACTCTTGCACTCTCTTACAGTTCCAACTTGTATGTTTCCTGTCATTCCCTCGTGTCTGTAATGTGTTCTGTGGACTCAGAAGTACATTCTAGAATGTCTTATAGGCTCCAGAGGCCATAGTGAGGGACTGAGGATAAGAATGTGCAAGTCTTGCCATCTGAGCGTCTGCTGGTGTACGTGACCCAGTTGTCTGTGCAAAGACGCAGCCCCACTGCTACACGGTGAGGAGCTGACTGCTTGATGATAATGTGATGCAGCTGGACTAGAGACAGGGTGTGCAACTAGAGACGTAGAACTTAAGGATACTATCAGGTCTTTTACGCTCATGTTGAAAAATGCCCTGTTTCCCTTACAAATACCATTGCGTTTTCCTGGATCCCAAAAGCCTTCATAATCTAGCTTTCCTGGCCTTTCAAACTGCCTATCGTCACCCCACAAAATGGTTCTTTGGCTGGCGTTTGCACCTAATATTCTATCAGTTTAGGTCACCTAACCATGGTGGTAGATACCTGTTCAGATTCTACCCACTTTTCAAAGATGACTTTCTTATCTAAGTTCTTGCTAGAGCCTTCTAACTGCCCCCTAAACTCCTCAGGTGAGTCCCTCTCTGGACTGTCTTGTCCATAGAATCAGAACTAGCATCTTTACAAGCCATCTGACTCATCAAGTCAATTGGCTTGGTGAAACAATCAACAGCTGTTAAACAACATTAACATTACAGAATCCCCTAATACATACTTGATTCTTTGCATGAGTTGAGTTCCTTGGCTGAAATTTTAAAAATAAGCTTCTAGAAACTAAGGTAATGAGACTTAAATGTCTTGGGTTAACTTTGGACTTAAGGGAGGAAAGACATAGTGCAGTGAGATATGGGGGACCCTGGTCACACCCTGAATAGTGACTGACAGAACCTGGGCCTGTTTAACTCTTATTTTGGAAAGCTCTCCCTGCTTGAAATGAAACCAATTCTCCTGGGTAAACTTGCAGATGAATTTACTGAACGTGTGAATAATTTTAACAAAACTATGGAGA